CGCGCGGCGGCGCGGTCCACGGCCCTGCGTGGCGCCATGGCTGCTCCCCACCCGGCCCGGCTCCCCGCCGCGACCTCCGGCTCGGCTCCCGCTCGGCCCGCCTGGGTCCCGACCCCCACACCGACCGCTCCGCTCCGCGCCGAGAACGCTCTGCGCAGCCCCGCGCGTCGCCGCGTCTCCGCAGTCCGTGCCGCCCCGCCCCAGCCCGCCCCGGGCCCGCCCCCGCGGCGTCTCTTGCCGTCGCCGCCCGCGCCGATCGTCGAGCCCGTCCCCGGGGGCTGGGCGGTGGGTCCGGAGTCTTCGGCCGACCTGGCCACGCCGCTCCGAGGCGCGCGGCTGAGTTCTGGGCACTGATTCCAGCCGGCAGGAGCGTGAGGGCGAAGGAGAGCGTGGAATCGAGGCGCATTCGGCCCTCCTGGGCCCAGGGCGCAGCAGCCGGCGCTTCGGGGCCTGGGTCTCTCTCCCCAGGTCCTGGCCGTGAACTGTCTCCACCCCCGCGCCCCTCTCCCCCCGCCCCGGGAGAAGGGGTCTTGACCTTGCACCTGGCGTCCTGTAGTGCCAAATCGAGAGGGCAGAGCTCCGCTTCCGCTTCAAAGGACCAAGAGTTGGGACCACCACCCAGGGTGGGGCAATGGGGTGGAGGTCAGCAGGGAAAGGGAAGGTTGGGGGCGGGGACCTGGGGCCTGCTCCCCCCTCCCAGTGGTGTGGGCACCCTGACCGGAGCCCCTCTGCGAAGAGGCACTGAAACGTCTGCAGAGGCCTTGCATGTGCAGTCCCTTCTCCTCTGGAAGGAATTTCAGCCAGTGTGCAGTGTTTCCCCTTAGGTTTGTACTCCAATGAAAACGTTACCTAGAGTCGTGCCAACATTCAAAAGTTTTGAGAGTCTGCAGAAAATTCTGACTTCTAGATTTTGTGGGTGGGTTGGAGGACCTGTCACCTGGCCCGCCCTGCCTTGGGTGGTGGCAGGCTGGGTCCCAGCTGCAAGTGGCCTGGGGTGAGGGTGGGGTCTTTGCCCTGCTAGGGGCCTGCATACCTGTGTGAGTGTGTGTGGCTGTACCTCCCTGTTCAGTCTGGGGTCATCAGCATCAAGGGGGGCTATGCCCAGTGCCCACCCACCTGGGTCCTGGCTGTACCGGAGATTTGGTAGTGTCACCATGCCAAGGCCAGCTGGGGTGGGCTCCAGTGGGGTCCAGTGTGGGCTCCAGGAGTGAGTGGGCTTCCAGGCCTAGGTTCCGATGCCCACTCAAGACCTGCCAGGGAGTGCTCTGTTCTGCTAGGGGCCAGAAGGCACTGCCTTGGGCAGTGGGATGATGGTGTTCATTGCATGTCATTTATGTCTCAAAAAAGGCTGTTAAAATATTTCAGACCACACCAGAAAGCCCTCCTGGAAGCAAACCTGGAGAATAGGAATAAATGCACCCCAAAACCAGGGAAAGGGGGCACACAGTTTTCCAAAGGGACCGAGAGAGCTCTCCTGTGGCCAGATGGGTGCAGGGCCCTCACTTCAAGCTGTGGTGGAGAGCAGTCCAGGGCCCCAAGCCCCTGCTCATCTTATAAGCTGCTTTCAAGCTGTCCCCAATCCAGGGAGGCCTGGGGCAGCTTGGCCAGGCTTCCCCAGCAATGATTTCTTCCAGCTAGGAATGGGAGCAAGGTCCCCATGGGGTAGAAGGCTGGAGGGGCTCCCCCGGGTGCTGGAGCTGCCTGCTGCTGCCTGAAATCTCTAGACAAGACATGTGCCTGAACTGGAGGCATTGGCCTGTGTGGGCTGGAGGTGCAGCCCAGACCAGAGGGCACAGGTGTCTGTTAACCCACCAGATGTCCTTAAACAGATGGTCATCCTCTCCCAATGGGGTAGAGACATGGAGAACCCTGGGTGCCAGTGTCAAATGGCGCGATAGCTGTGTCATTTCTGATCCCATCCACAGGCCCACAGCCTAGGTTATGAGACCCATTTCACAGAATAGAAAACTGAGGTCCAGAGGGCTTGAGATCCTGGCTCTGGGGCAGGCCAAACTCTTCTCAGTCTTGTGAGAGTTAGCAGAGCTGGGATCCTGATCCCTGGCTGGCTCCAGCGCCCTCGAAGCACTGTGTGGACCTGAGCTGGGGGTGGTGGTGGCGGCAGTTTATGGCCTAGAGGGTTGAGCCTCAGCTCCTGACCATGGTCACTGCTGCCAGGAGGGAATGTGGCCTCAGAATGTTAAAGCTGGGGCACTTTAGGAAGGCCACGTACCCCTCTGGGCTTGGCCTGTGACCCTCATTCTGTGACAGTTTCACTGTTCCAGCGGGGAAATTGAGGACTGGAGAGGGAAGAAGGGCCTGATAAGGGGTCCCCTCGAACAGTTAAACCTGTGACAAATGGCAGTGGCCTGGGGAAACATGGAGAGACATCGCCCCTGGAGAAGCAGTCTGACCCAATACGACCCTGCCAGAATGAGCGTTCTCTTAGGAAAAAGGATCTTCCTAGTGGGATGCTTCCTAGTGGGCTGTTCTGTCCCGTTTTCCACTTTAAGCCCAGCACATAGGCTGTAGGTGCGTTTCTAGTTCCCAAGGTCAGATGGCCCAGCAGCCCCTGCAGTGGATGCCTGGTGGATGTGGGCACCTACTCTCATGGGGCAGCTTTCACTCAGGAAGGAGCCTTAGGCATCAACAGGCCCGTGGCAGGGCCGCGGCGGATTTCCAGAGGTCAGGGAGGTGTACCCGCACCTGGCACCTGCTTACCGTGTCCTTTCTCTTCCTACCTGATCAGCCCAGAGCCAAGGCTCCCTGTGGCCCTAAAACTGGACGTGACTGTCTGGACAGCTGAAGATTTGCCGCAGGTAGCACTCCACCCAAGGGTTCTCAAAGTTCCGGAAGAGCAATTGCCGCTCCCTGCACCAGGGCTACCTTTGTCCCTTGAACGTATGCTTCCTCGGTTCTTTCTTGTATGGGCTGAATTCAGTCGAAGGAAAAGAAGAGAACACCGCAGCCCTCCACCCTGGGTGGCTGTTCGCAGAATGTGATGATCCAGTAAAAAACAAATCATCAGACTTCTGCTCCGGAAAGCGCAAGCCGTGCTAAGATTTTTGCTTCAGGAGCCAAGTGTGATTGCTTCCCCGCCGCGCGTCCTCGGAGTCCGAGAACCAGCAGATCAACCGCCGCGCTCTCCTCTGGCCTGCAGTCCCGCGGGCGGACGCGCGGGGGCAGCGCCACGGTCGCCAGTTCGCAGAGCGCCCCGCAGTTGACATTGCAAAACTGGGGGATTTTCCATACTTTCCTTGCTGGCTCTCTTTTCGGCTGGCTGCCCACTGTTGTCTCCGAAGGGGTGGAGGGCGCCACGTCTGTCCCCAGAGCCTCGCCCGGGCCAGCCCCGCGTCGGCGCAGAGAGGGGTTTTGTTTGGGGACAAACTTTTAAAGGGGACTCAGGATCGCGGTGGAATCTGAGTCGCTCGTGGTTATGGGCGGGCCGCGGTGCTGGGAAGCCTGGGCCGGGCCTCCTCCTCTAATCCACTCTCCTGCTCCCTTCCCCCCTGGCAAGCTGTCCCCGTGGCCAGTACCCCCAGTACCCCACGGCACCCCATTCCTGCCAGCCCGCACAGGCCGCCCATGGTCCTCGCGGGACGGCTGGGGACATGCTCCAGCTGCTCCCCTGCGGGATGGACTAGGACTCAGAACCCCTGGGACGCCTGAGGACCCCACCTTCCCCTGGAAGGGCCTGCCAGGTGTGGGGACTCCCCCCCAGCCACCCTGAATTGTCTCTGCTGGGTCCTGGCGCTGGGCAGGGTGGACTGCTGGACCACCAGAGCTGCCCTCCGGAGGGAGCCTCGGCCCTATGCCCACTCTTACTTCTTTTTGTGGATTTGGAAGGTCTCCGTCTGTAGATCAGGGACAAAGTGGGAGTACATGCAGATTAATGAGAAGCTGAGCAGTTCGGATAGACCCTAGCCCTGCCTCCTCTGTTGCCAGCTGCAGGCCATGAGGGCCCTGTGGCCCTTCCACAGCCCTTCACCCTGGGTGACTGTTCACCTAGCTGGGGCACTCACACCCCTGCCCTGTCTAGGTCTCCATCCTGCCTGTGTTCCGTGGGCTGGAACAGGTGGGGCGGTGGTGTTGGGCCCCTGACACAGCATCCTCACATGGACCCCAGGGCCGGACACAGACCTCCTCCTCCTGGCTGTCAGCAGACCAGTGCCGGGCTGGGCAGGGCAGATTCCACCTGCTTGTTGAGGCATGGCCTGGCACAACATAGCCCACAGGCACAGCCCTGCTCCTTCTGTGTGGAACCTCTTTGGGGACAAGGCTGGAGGATTCCAGAGCCTGAGCTGGGTCCTGGGAGAGGGGGATGGGTGGGAGAGGGGCAGCATCCATCGGATCCTCCTCCTGGACTGGTGCCTTGGCTTTCTCTGCCTAGAGAGGCCTTGTCTCAGCTGGAATGGCGGCCGCCAGGGCGTGGCAGGGCAGTGTGGGGACCCCTGGCTGGGATGTCCTCCTGGGGCAGGGCAAGGGTGGCAGCCCTGTTGGGGGTTGCGTGATATGGGCTGAGAGGGGCGCTGGTCTGTCTACCCTGGCTCCCCTGGACCACATGGAGCCAGGCGTGGAGTGGGGAAGGGATCTTCTGTCCTGGGGCCTGATGCCACACAGCTCCCCTGGGGAGGGTGAAGTTGTCAGCACCCTCCAGCAGCCCCAGGCCATGGTTGGGCTTGTGACCAGCACACCTCCTATTTCCTGCATGGCAGTCGTCCCCCTCCTGGGCCTGTGACCCTCAATGGGGCCCTTTCCTGGGAGATAAGAGCGGTCCCTGCTGTTATCTGGCCCTGCTCTTAACTCGGTTCATCTCCACTAATGTTCAGGAGACACTTCTGACAGATGAATGTCAGCAGGATGAGTCAGTTA